ATACGTTACGTAAACCACAAAGACTTGTATGTATATGTTTATATATAAATCATGTATCTTTCATTTATAATGCAGCCAGAGGTAATACTAGCTGAACGGTTGCATGTAAAAATATGTGCATTATTTATATTTGGATGTGAAGACATGATAAAACAATGCTGTAAAACATACAGATAAATATAAAAAACATAATGCATTTATAAGACAAAACACGCACAACAGACAAAACACAAACACAGCAAACACAAGCACACACACAACTCAAATTAAAACACAAACACAAAATTAAATAAAAAACAACACATAAATATAAACAACATAATGAATTTATAAGACAAAACACACATAACACAAAACGAAAACACAGAAAAATAACACACACAAACACGCTAAACACAAACGCAAAAAATACAAAAACAAAAAACACACACAAAACACAAAAACACAAAATACAAACACAAAACGGACACAAAGTAAATAAGAAAAGCACACAACATAAACACACACAAAGTACATACACATGTTAAACACAAACATGCGTAAAGCACTGTCATAGATTAAACACAGTTACAGATTAAACACACTCACAGATTAAACACAATCACAGATTAAACACACTCACATATTAAACACACTCATAGATTAAACACACTCACAGATTAAACACACTCACACATTAAACACACTCACAGATTAAACACAATCACATATTAAACACACTCACAGATTAAACACAATCACAGATTAAACACACTCACAGATTAAACACACTCACAGATTAAACACACTCACAGATTAAACACAATCACAGATTAAACACAATCACAGATTAAACACACTCACAGATTAAACACACTCACAGATTAAACACAATCACAGATTAAACACAATCACAGATTAAACACAATCACAGATTAAACACAATCACAGTTAACTACCACAGCTCATAAATGAGCTATTTAAAACACAACACAAAAACACAACCAGAAATAAAATACACGAACCATCACTACCACAAACCACTCATGTACTTCACAACTTATAATTAACGTTTCGTGTAAATAGTTAACCTTGTTTTTAATTAGTTTTCATATGTTTTAAAAATTAGTTAAAGGTTACGTTAATGGTGAAATTACATATACAATCAATAGTTTCGAAATGCACACTAGTAATTAAGAAACCAATCAAATAAACAGACATATAACTCAGAAAAAACTTCTTGTTTAAATTACTTGTGTTATATTTCGCTGTTGTGGTTTTACGGTGTTACTTTGATGGGTTTAAAGATGTTAAATTTTACCTTATCAAAGTTAAGATCATGTTAAGATTAAGTTAAGATCAGGTTTAGGGTTAAAGCAAGTCTCATCTGATGGTGGGTTACGGATATTACAGCATCCGTTTATTTGTAGCCTAGTGTTTCTTTCAGGTATCTCTTCGGCACGTCTACCATTCCACCCCCCCCCCCCTCAAGGATGGAATAGAATTCTTATAGAAAATGTATACTTTTACCAGTGTCTTCGGCTCTTCCTTCTCGGAAAGTTTCAAGTGACCCTCAATCCCAGAGAAAAAAAAGTCTGAAAGAAACACTGCTGTAGGCGTTGACTTCTATTTTTGGTGAGTGTAATATATCTCATGCGAACTTTGCGCCGTGTGTTTTTAAAAACCTTGAATGTGATATGGTAGCGTTTACTAGTGTTCGACACCGTGTAGGCCTGCGGGCCGTATTCGGACTCTAGCGAGAATTTTCGTTAAAACAAAATTTAAAATGTCAACGTCTTTAAAAAAAAAATAATTCTAGATGCAGTTGTGTGCATTAAGTATACATGAATGCTTTTTTAAAGCATACGTTTAAACTCCTCGTCAGCGTGAACAAATATCACGATAAAATGTATATTTTTATTTCCTTTTCTTTTCGAACTCAGTGACATTTGGAAAACTTTAAACAAAAACTCACTAAATTCACAACAACTATCTAGCGCTTGTAATTATGTGTGTTCAGGCTAGCATTTGCTGTGGGCAATTATAAAATACCCACCCACACACACACACACAAAGCTTCGGCCTGTTTGTATGTCAAGAAAATGAAAGTAAGAATGTTTTATGACGTCTAGAGTACGCCTTTCTTTGCTTGTTTTTACCAAGAGGCTTGGGAATTCCCGATTTACTTTGAAAACCAATGATGTTTCGGGTAAAGTTAAATTTATTTTATTAATGGATATTTGTATATTTATATAATTTAATGTATATATATAATTAATTCCGGATATTAAGATCTAGATTAAGTAAACGAACTTTAATTAAAACTTGGCATTCCTTACTTTTGCAATAATTAGTAGTGGGTTTTTGTTTTCATAGTGTAGCTTCAAGAAAACAAACAACTACTCGTGTATTCATATTCTAAATGAGTGTTGCACATGTATAATATTACGTTTATAAATACAATTTGTAGTCTAGCTGCACTCAATCTTTACATTAATATTATACTAGAAGTTGCATTATATTTTTTTTTAAATAATTAAGTAATGGCTTTGGTTCGCATATAAGGGAAACAAGAAAAACGACCCTGATGAGGTTTTTTATTACTCTCTGCTCAGCCTCGTTTCAACTTATTTGTGACGTCACTACCGGTGTAAGAATAGATTTCTATTACAATCTATTGAAATGTATTCAATAGCTTTTATGCAAAGAGAGAAGTCTTTTAATGATTTTTAACAGCTTTTATTAGCGTTAGAACTATTTTTTTGAGTTGAAATTAGATTTTTGCATCTTGTAATTTATTTATTTTTTTTATTTAAAAAAAAAATTAAAAACATGCAATATATAATACAAAAGAAACTGAATCTAGTTCTATTTGGTGTGTTTTTTTCAAGCTTATACTAGGATTTAAAAATTGTAAAACTCTAACATTGTTTTTAAGAAAAAATTATTCAATCGTGTTAAGTAAATCTAGGTCCTGCTTGTGTTTGTTCACAACAATCATAGATAATTCATGAAACATTCACGCACACAAAACTTTCGCGGCTACCATGCCCCCCTCCCCCCACTTAGGATTAGTCACTTTGTCAGTCACGTGATAAAAGCCTTGTCGGATCAAACGTTACGTCAATAACAAAAAATTGACATCCCAAGTTCCTCCAAGGTGTCAGTATAATGGGTAGGGGGGAGGGGGGTTAACTTATATTACAAGTTTATTTCGCATGTTTTTTTAGAAGTTAGTAACTGACTGACCTATGTTCTAGTAACTGACTGACCTATGTTCTAGTAACTGACTGACCTATGTTCTAGTAACTGACTGACCTATGTTCTAGTAACTGACTTTGGCCTATCGTCTTGTAGCCTGGTAGCTGTCTTAGACTTATCGTCTTGACCACCCAGTTCTGCAGCTGCTTAGAAAATATTGATTTATGCACTGACATTCTGGTAGTTTATGGTTACAGTGGAATCACGTTCAGTGGAGTCATGTTCAGTGGAGTCATGTTGAGTGGAGTCATGTTGTGTGGAGTCATGTTGAATGGAGTCATATTGAGTGGAGTCATGTTGAGTGGAGTCATGTTGTGTGGAGTCATGTTGAATGGAGTAATGTTGAGTGGAGTCATGTTGAGTGGAGTCATGTTGAGTGGAGTCATGTTGTGTGGAGTCATGTTGAGTGGAGTCATGTTGAATGGGGTCATGTTGAATGGAGTCATGTTGAATGGAGTCATGTTGAGTGGAGTCATGTTGAGTGAAGTCATGTTGAGTGGAGTCATGTTGAATGGGGTCATGTTGAATGGAGTCATGTTGAATGGAGTCATGTTGAGTGGAGTCATGTTGAGTGGAGTCATGTTGAGTGGAGTCATGTTGAGTGGAGTCATGTTGAGTGGAGTCACGTTCAGTGGAGTCATGTTGAGTGGAGATGTTGAGTGGAGTCTTGTTGAATGGAGTCATGTTGGAGTCATATTGAATGGAGTCATGTTTAGTGCAATCTCATTTAGGGGATTTACTTTTAGTGTAGCAATGCTAGCGGAGTGGAGTGACGTCACGTTAATTAAAATCCTATTAAGTGGAGAAACGTTGTGTGAAGCCATGTTAGGCATACAGCAGCAAGCCATTCAATCGTGGGCAGTGTAGTAGTGTAGGTGTTTGTTAGAGATCTTCACACTACATTTGAAACTAGTGGACAGTGTGGCTGGACATAGAACTGATCCGACTGCCCACCCCACCCCACCCTAAGAAACAAGTGTATACGTGTGTGCGCGAACGTGTATGTAAGATTCTGATTAGCTACACATCCAGAATATTCCACTATACTTTCCCTTGTGCCAGACTGCTAACCTGAAAGTCTCTGAGTTCGAATAGAATGTCCCTGAGTCCACCCAGCTATGATCGGTACCTAGCTCACGTTAGGAAAAATAAAGGCGGGTGGGCCTATTGCTGACCACACCATCCTTTCATATGCCGAGGTCACAGAAACAGGTGAACTCTACTACACTTGACCCGTGAAACGTCAAATTAAAAAAGGGAAATTTACATTCTTCCCACCTACTTCAACAGATTTTCAATTCTGACAGGCATGAAATCAATAGGCTAACATTCAAACTTATTTCTTATTTTTAAAATCCCTTAATATCGAACTTTCTGGTAATGTGTCAGTCTTATCCATTTAACGTTGAATAAAGCTGTCAACAGGAATGATAATCCTCCAATGTTTCTAAATGAGTTTTCTCCCCTGCATTGTTGTTCAAAGGCCAGCGTTAGTCACATTGCCCGATAAACACGGCTATAAAAAACCTGGCTATCGCCCGCACCACGTCTGCTCAAAAATCGAGTAATCCCCCCTTAAAATGGAGTTTCTGTTCCTGCATCTAAATCTATTCGTTATTATTTCCCCCGACGTCTAGAAAGTGAATAAAAATGGTTCACAAAATAAAATATCAGGTTTTTTCAAGTTTATGAAAAAAACAAAAAAAATTTCCGGATTCCAATATTGAGTTTCTGTTCAGAAAACGGATATCCGGTTTTGGCTATAAAATGTTGCTTGTGACTGGTCTGTTGTTGGTAGTTGACCCGGTGTTGCTTGTGACTGGTCTATTGTTGGTAGTTGACCCGGTGTTGCTTGTGACTGGTCTATTGTTGGTAGTTGACCCGGTGTTGCTTGTGACTGGTTTGTTGTTGGTAGTTGACCCGGTGTTGCTTGTGACTGGTCTGTTGTTGGTAGTTGACCCGGTGTTGCTTGTGACTGGTCTATTGTTGGTAGTTGACCCGGTGTTGCTTGTGACTGGTTTGTTGTTGGTAGTTGACCCGGTGTTGCTTGTGACTGGTCTATTGTTGGTAGTTGACCCGGTGTTGCTTGTGACTGGTTTGTTGTTGGTAGTTGACCCGGTGTTGCTTGTGACTGGTCTGTTGTTGGTAGTTGACCCGGTGTTGCTTGTGACTGGTTTGTTGTTGGTAGTTGACCCGGTGTTGCTTGTGACTGGTCTATTGTTGGTAGTTGACCCGGTGTTGCTTGTGACTGGTCTGTTGTTGGTAGTTGACCCGGTGTTGCTTGTGACTGGTCTGTTGTTGGTAGTTGACCCGGTGTTGCTTGTGACTGGTCTGTTGTTGGTAGTTGACCCGGTGTTGCTTGTGACTGGTCTGTTGTTGGTAGTTGACCCGGTGCTGTACAATGGATGACCCTAGAGGTCAAGGTCGTCAGTACCGATTTCAATCTTTAAAAAGGGGGAGCGAATTCTATCTAAATCTGTTTTTTTTTTCGGAACAAGTAGTAAGTCGAATTTTTTGGTTGAACAAGTAGCAACTTTATATTCAAGGGGGGGGGGGGGGGGGAGGGGTGTAACTTAAATTTTCAGCGGAACTTGGAACAGGTTCATCTTTAATAGTCAATTACTGGAAAGGTGGATTGCCGTTTATATAACAATATACATCACCCACATGTATATTACTTATACATGTGGAAACTCGTGTTGTTTTTGGTGGCCCATGAGGCAGATGAAGTAAAAATATAATATTTATATGGCGATGACATATGGAACGATTGTGTGTTTAGTTATGGTCATAGCGTTGCTGTCCCCTAACGTTAGTCCGGTACCCATCAAAGCTGGGTGAACTGGGGTCCGTTTTACGGACTCCAAAACGTATATACGTGATAAATATTTCAGGCACTCGTTTCAGATATGTCCTATATACATGTCCAATATACATGCCCAAGATAATATCCTTTTTACATAGTGTCATACCAGCTACATATTCTGGGGACGTGTCCAGGATACATGTACAAGATACAAGTCCCACTACAAGTCATTCCACTACAATTTTCTTTTCGAAAACAATTGACTGTAAAAAAGGGTTAGTAAGCATTTTAATTATCGATCTAACGCAAGGAGACGGCGTATTTGGACAAGATAGCGTATGATTAATAATTCCATAAGTCACAAGTTCGAACCCCGAGTTCCAATATTATAATTAAGAAGGAAGAAGAAGATCTTGCATAAATATATTTATTTTATTAAGTTAAACTTAAAACTAGATACTTAAGTTCATTTTAATGTGTCAATGCAACTAAAAATTAATTGAAGGATAAACTAAAATGTACAACAAAATATATAACTTAACAATAAAAATATATATATCACGAAAGTATGAATTTGAAAATATTTTTCCGCTAAATATAATAATTAAATTACTTCCATGACCCAGAAGCTTCTACAAACTCTCCCGTAATTAGACAAATTGAACTTGATGACAACGGACTAATTAACTGAGCACCCAGTGCCTCCCTGCGACCTAAATCAGCCATCAAGGGCAGCAACTACTCCCTTCTTATCGCAGGATTCTCGCCCCTGATATTGGCTTACAGATGAAAGTCGGTCCGATCATCTCCGACCATTACGAGATTTCATAGATCCGGGTCATTAAGTCCGTGGACTGAACTACTTCCGGTCGTCTCACAGTCAGTCTAATATTTGTTGCTTCCCTTTCATCCGATTCATTCTCCATGAACGACAAATCGGTTGATGAATTGCTTGATGAAACTAGTTATCTGCTGTACATTTGAAAAGGATTTAAGCTTTTAATTACTGAACCGTTAAATGAATACATGTAAACTTTGGGTTATATCCGTAACAATTAGCTTCTGGTCCACCCAATACACCGTGTTGCATATTTGCAACACGGTTCGGTCAGTTGTTAAATGCGTTACTAAATTAAAAGTTAAAAGAATTGCATTGTTCATTCTTTGACATCTGCTAATCATTATATTCATTCCCGTGGACCTCTCGTGGAGCATAAGAATACATCCACACCTCTACATCGTACTTAGTTGTGGGCGATTCTTTCAGGTTTGGTCCATAACATTCCGGCTGTTTCCTCTTCACTGACAACTGATCTTTTCCAAGTTTGTTTCGGCCTACCTGCTTTCATCATTCCTTGGGGATTTCAATCTAGTGCCTGTCTTGTGATGTTGTTTGTTGGTTTGCGCTAAGCTAGTCACTAAATTGTGATGCTCGGTCTGACAATAGAGCCTACGACATCGTTCGTATCAATAGGGCTGGTAAGTAGGTCACCAACCAGTTCTACGTCCCAATAAAACCTGCATGAGCCATAGAACTGGTTGGTGACCTACTTACCAGCCCTATAGCACGTAAATTAAATCTTCTTTAGACCCAGCGGTCCATTTCGGCAGATGAAGTTTCTTGACCTCGGAATATAAAGGGCGGGTGTGGTCAGCATTTTCGTACCAATAGTAATTGGCACTAATTGTGCGCATCATTTATAGTATCATCCTTTACCTGACCAGTTCCTTGCCCCCCCCCCCCCCCACTCCCCAATCCACCAACACCCTTTAACACCCCCTGACAGCAATCACCTCTGGTATATCAGTTGCCATTCTGTCGTCGTTGTCGTCGTCCCCCCCCCGCACCTCCATTTAAGCCCCTACAAAACCTTCGTTCCCCACGTTCGATTACAGGCAGCAGTAATCAGACCACACTGCCCAATCCTGGGTCCAATTGGTCAGAAATTCCTCGCAAATTTAACCGGAAGTTAAGGAAATCAGGCAGAAAAAAAACACAAGAAAACGGGAATATCCGTTGACGTGGTCAAGCCTTGGCCACTGATTGGTGAGCTGTTTGATTATCGATTTCGCATAATTTATTTCAAGACCCTTTGCATTTTATTTAAGGTTAATGTGTGTGTGGGATGGGGGGGGAGGGTTGGTGGTTGTAAGGGGGTGGGTGAGTTTCGTTTTATTGAAGGGGTGGGGGTGTTATTAAAGAGAAAGATGGATTGCGAAGGGGGTGCTTTATTGAGCTGAAAGTTGGAATAGAAAACTTCGTGGTAAAGAAAAAAAAGGAGGGGGGGGGGTCGGTATTTAAGAAAAGTAAAAAGAATGCAGGATTTTTTCGTCTAAATAGCGTGACGCTAAAGATCATTAGACTATTAAATTTAGATTGGGTTTAATTTAACTCTGCACACGTCTTTAAACTCTTTGCACTAAATGTAATGCAAAATAAGCAAAAAAAAAAAATCTCAAATTTTAAGATTAATTTCCAAACACTGGTTGTAAAAAAAAAAACCTTGGCGTTGTTAATTTTTTTTTCAACGTGACGACTTCTGTGTTATGTAGCCTACCTAGATTTTATCTTTTAATAAGTCCCATACTTATCTTATAAGTTCTCATCTTTGTCGTACATATAAAATTATCAAAGTGAGTGTTAAACAGATAAAAATAGAATATTTCTATGCGCTCTATTTAAACATACTTTGTCCAATCTGTTCTTCAAGGAGACTTTGTCTGTTATAATTTTGTTTTCGGAGGCTGTGTTTGGTATCTGTTGATGGGGTGGGCGGCGCCAGTGTCGTTGGAATACATTCTCTCCATCAACAGTGTGTTAAGTTGATGATAAAGTTGTGGGCTGTGTTAAGTTGATGATAAACTTGAAGAAATACAGCCCTCTTTACTCAAACAGCTGTGTTAAGTTGATGATAAAGTATTTGGAGTACAGCCCTCCTTTGTCTCAAACAGCTGTGTTAAGTTGATGATAAAGTTGTGGGCTGTGTTAAGTTGATAATAAAGTTGTGGGCTGTGTTAAGTTGATGATAAAGTTGTGGGCTGTGTTAAGTTGATGATAAAGTTGTGGGCTGTGTTAAGTTGATAATAAAGTTGTGGGCTGTGTTGATAATAAAGTTGTGGGCTGTGTTAAGTTGATAATAAAGTTGTGGGTTGTGTTAAGTTGATGATAAAGTTGTGGGCTGTGTTAAGTTGATAATAAAGTTGTGGGCTGTGTTGATAATAAAGTTGTGGGCTGTGTTGATAATAAAGTTGTGGGCTGTGTTAAGTTGATAATAAAGTTGTGGGCTGTGTTGATAATAAAGTTGTGGGCTGTGTTAAGTTGATGATAAAGTTGTGGGTTGTGTTAAGTTGATGATAAAGTTGTGGGCTGTGTTAAGTTGATAATAAAGTTGTGAGCTGTGTTAAGTTGATAATAAAGTTGTGGGCTGTGTTGATAATAAAGTTGTGGGCTGTGTTAAGTTGATAATAAAGTTGTGGGCTGTGTTAAGTTGATGATAAAGTTGTGGGCTGTGTTAAGTTGATAATAAAGTTGTGGGCTGTGTTGATAATAAAGTTGTGGGCTGTGTTAAGTTGATGATAAAGTTGTGGGCTGTGTTAAGTTGATAATAAAGTTGTGGGCTGTGTTGATAATAAAGTTGTGGGCTGTGTTAAGTTGATGATAAAGTTGTGGGCTGTGTTAAGTTGATAATAAAGTTGTGGGCTGTGTTGATAATAAAGTTGTGGGCTGTGTTAAGTTGATAATAAAGTTGTGGGCTGTGTTAAGTTGATAATAAAGTTGTGGGCTGTGTTGATAATAAAGTTGTGGGCTGTGTTAAGTTGATGATAAAGTTGTGGGCTGTGTTAAGTTGATGATAAAGTTGTGGGTTGTGTTAAGTTGATAATAAAGTTGTGGGCTGTGTTGATAATAAAGTTGTGGGCTGTGTTAAGTTGATAATAAAGTTGTGGGCTGTGTTAAGTTGAAAATAAAGTTGTGGGCTGTGTTGATAATAAAGTTGTGGGCTGTGTTAAGTTGATAATAAAGTTGTGGGCTGTGTTGATAATAAAGTTGTGGGCTGTGTTAAGTTGATAATAAAGTTGTGGGCTGTGTTAAGTTGATGATAAAGTTGTGGGTTGTGTTAAGTTGATGAGAAAGTTGTGGGCTGTGTTAAGTTGATAATAAAGTTGTGGGCTGTGTTAAGTTGATAATAAAGTTGTGGGCTGTGTTGATAATAAAGTTGTGGGCTGTGTTAAGTTGATAATAAAGTTGTGGGCTGTGTTAAGTTGATAATAAAGTTGTGGGCTGTGTTGATAATAAAGTTGTGAGCTGTGTTAAGTTGATAATAAAGTTGTGGGCTGTGTTAAGTTGATAATAAAGTTGTGGGCTGTGTTGATAATAAAGTTGTGGGCTGTGTTAAGTTGATGATAAAGTTGTGGGCTGTGTTAAGTTGATGATAAAGTTGTGGGCTGTGTTAAGTTGATAATAAAGTTGTGGGCTGTGTTAAGTTGATAATAAAGTTGTGGGCTGTGTTAAGTTGATGATAAAGTTGTGGGCTGTGTTAAGTTGATAATAAAGTTGTGGGCTGTGTGATAATAAAGTTGTGGGCTGTGTTAAGTTGATAATAAAGATGTGGGCTGTGTTAAGTTGATAATAAAGTTGTGGGCTGTGTTAAGTTGATAATAAAGTTGTGGGCTGTGTTAAGTTGATAATAAAGTTTTGGGCTGTGTTAAGTTGATAATAAAGTTGTGGGCTGTGTTAAGTTGATAATAAAGTTGTGGGCTGTGTTGATAATAAAGTTGTGGGCTGTGTTAAGTTGATAATAAAGTTGTGGGCTGTGTTAAGTTGATAATAAAGTTGTGGGCTGTGTTAAGTTGATAATAAAGTTGTGGGCTGTGTTGATAATAAAGTTGTGGGCTGTGTTAAGTTGATAATAAAGTTGTGGGCTGTGTTAAGTTGATAATAAAGTTGTGGGCTGTGTTAAGTTGATAATAAAGTTGTGGGCTGTGTTAAGTTAATGATAAAGTTGTGGGTTGTGCTAAGTTGATAATAAAGTTGTGGGCTGTGTTGATAATAAAGTTGTGGGCTGTGTTAAGTTGATGATAAAGTTGTGGGCTGTGTTAAGTTGATAATAAAGTTGTGGGCTGTGTTGATAATAAAGTTGTGGGCTGTGTTAAGTTGATAATAAAGTTGTGGGCTGTGTTAAGTTGATAATAAAGTTGTGGGCTGTGTTGATAATAAAGTTGTGGGCTGTGTTAAGTTGATGATAAAGTTGTGGGCTGTGTTGATAATAAAGTTGTGGGATGTGTTAAGTTGATAATAAAGTTGTGGGCTGTGTTAAGTTGATGATAAAGTTGTGGGCTGTGTTAAGTTGATAATAAAGTTGTGGGCTGTGTTGATAATAAAGTTGTGGGCTGTGTTAAGTTGATAATAAAGTTGTGGGCTGTGTTAAGTTGATGATAAAGTTGTGGGCTGTGTTAAGTTGATAATAAAGTTGTGGGCTGTGTTAAGTTGATGATAAAGTTGTGGGCTGTGTTAAGTTGATAATAAAGTTGTGGGCTGTGTTGATAATAAAGTTGTGGGCTGTGTTAAGTTGATAATAAAGTTGTGGGCTGTGTTAAGTTGATGATAAAGTTGTGGGTTGTGTTAAGTTGATAATAAAGTTGTGGGCTGTGTTGATAATAAAGTTGTGGGCTGTGTTAAGTTGATAATAAAGTTGTGGGCTGTGTTAAGTTGAAAATAAAGTTGTGGGCTGTGTTGATAATAAAGTTGTGGGCTGTGTTAAGTTGATAATAAAGTTGTGGGCTGTGTTGATAATAAGGTTGTGGGCTGTGTTAAGTTGATAATAAAGTTGTGGGCTGTGTTAAGTTGATGATAAAGTTGTGGGTTGTGTTAAGTTGATGAGAAAGTTGTGGGCTGTGTTAAGTTGATAATAAAGTTGTGGGCTGTGTTAAGTTGATAATAAAGTTGTGGGCTGTGTTGATAATAAAGTTGTGGGCTGTGTTAAGTTGATAATAAAGTTGTGGGCTGTGTTAAGTTGATAATAAAGTTGTGGGCTGTGTTGATAATAAAGTTGTGAGCTGTGTTAAGTTGATAATAAAGTTGTGGGCTGTGTTAAGTTGATAATAAGGTTGTGGGCTGTGTTGATAATAAAGTTGTGGGCTGTGTTAAGTTGATGATAAAGTTGTGGGCTGTGTTAAGTTGATGATAAAGTTGTGGGCTGTGTTAAGTTGATAATAAAGTTGTGGGCTGTGTTAAGTTGATAATAAAGTTGTGGGCTGTGTTAAGTTGATGATAAAGTTGTGGGCTGTGTTAAGTTGATAATAAAGTTGTGGGCTGTGTGATAATAAAGTTGTGGGCTGTGTTAAGTTGATAATAAAGATGTGGGCTGTGTTAAGTTGATAATAAAGTTGTGGGCTGTGTTAAGTTGATAATAAAGTTGTGGGCTGTGTTAAGTTGATAATAAAGTTTTGGGCTGTGTTAAGTTGATAATAAAGTTGTGGGCTGTGTTAAGTTGATAATAAAGTTGTGGGCTGTGTTGATAATAAAGTTGTGGGCTGTGTTAAGTTGATAATAAAGTTGTGGGCTGTGTTAAGTTGATAATAAAGTTGTGGGCTGTGTTGATAATAAAGTTGTGGGCTGTGTTAAGTTGATAATAAAGTTGTGGGCTGTGTTAAGTTGATAATAAAGTTGTGGGCTGTGTTAAGTTGATAATAAAGTTGTGGGCTGTGTTAAGTTAATGATAAAGTTGTGGGTTGTGCTAAGTTGATAATAAAGTTGTGGGCTGTGTTGATAATAAAGTTGTGGGCTGTGTTAAGTTGATAATAAAGTTGTGGGCTGTGTTGATAATAAAGTTGTGGGCTGTGTTGATAATAAAGTT